CACTCGAGTTCCATCACACTAAACTGGTCAAACCATGTCTTTATGGAGCTTGGACATTAAAAATGGAGTCGTCTCTCTTTTATTGCTATACCAACATCCACTCTCCCACAAGATCTTGGAAGGTGTCTGTGGGAATTTGTGCCCATTTGTCACGCCAGGTACTGATGTAGGATAAGAAGACCTGGCTTGCCATCAATGCTCCAGTTCATCCCAAAGGTGTCCAGAAGGGTTGAAGGTCAGGACTCTGTGCAGGAACTCAAGTTCCTTCACATAAACTGGTCAACCCATGTCTTTATGGAGCTGGCTTTGTACACCGGGGACAGTCATGGTGGAACAGAAAAGGGTCTTCCCCAAACTCACAAGGTTGGAAGAGCACAATTGCCTACAATGTCTTTGTATGATGTAGTACTTTCAATACCTTGACTGAAAACACCTGAACTCCATCATATCGGTAGATGTGATAGTGAGGTGTCAACAAGCATTGAACAATTGCTACAAGGCGGATGAAGAATGAGAAGGATTAAACATGTATTGGAGAACATTAAAGCGCATCAGAAGCCAAATCTTCACCACTCTATCTAAAACTTAAAAAAAAAAGTTTCCTCTGTTTAATATGCTTAAAAAAGTTAAAGAAACACAATTTTAAATATTTAGACAAGCCCCGAAGAAAACCTCAAATGAAATCTCCATGATGTCAATAAATTAACTTTCCTGTGACAAGTAAAACCAATTAAATTGTTTGTAGCGAGTTTCAGGGACTAATGTTGTTATCACAGTTTTGGATATTCACAAATACAATCTCCTGACAGTTGTAACAAAGTTTCTCAATTGGGAAATCAAAAGGATAAGTCTCCCTTTTTTACTTCGGAATTCATTTCACAAATGACAAGCGCAGAACGAAATGGAATTGAACACGATCTCCGGCTGGGGTTCATTGGAGCAGAAGATCAATAAGACAAATCCCCTTAAAATCTTTTTTATGTTAATAACATTCACGTCATCAGAGGTGCTCTTGTACTGTATCTTCTTAATACATTTAAAATGGGAAAAAAGTCAATGGAATTTTTTTATTTTTTATTAATGAACATAATCTTTTGATTTAGATGAATTCTTTCAACTTGATTATTTTTCCGCTATTTTTTTTCTCAGCAGACAATGACTTTTTGTACTTGCTAATATTATGTTATCCTCTCCTCCTTTTCTTTACGTTGCAATATAAAGTGATACTTTTTATATTAGTTAGATTATAATCTTGTTTATTAAAAATCTTCTACTAAAGGCAATGAAAGGATAGAGCGACATTTTCTTTCCCAACCCACACATTCTAAATTCTTCTCTGCTCCTTAATGCATTTGGAAAGTGGGAGGGGAATGAGGTGTCTGCAGGGTGGAGGTTGTGTCACCTTATTGTTAGATCTGTTTAGCCGGTCTCGATGCCGATTGGCTGGGAAGTACTCTAGGTATACTTATAAATGGTTATCTGGTATTGTAGTTTTTTTTTCTATTTTATGGCTTTAGGGAGGGCTTTATATATTATTTTTTTAATATTTGTCATATAAATATATTAGGATTTAATTACTATATGATAATCAAATTAATAATATAAAAGTGTATCCAGGTAAATGCTGTGTACCCGTGTACTGTACAGGCACGCCGTACATGCCATACAACCATTGACCTTTCCTTTGATTTATCCTTCTAAAGATTACATTTCTTCAGCAATAAAAGAAGACCGCAAGGGGCCTTCTACTTCCTAGGACGCGGGTTATTCTCATTACTGTTGCAGTGTGCATCAGTAATTGCTACTTGCATGAATGCCATGGACAGACTGTCCCAATTATCTCATCCGGCCTTGGAGAGCTTGACAGATGGTTAAAAATATATGTAAGCCCAATCACTGAAATCTCACATAAGTGTTCAAATAAAAGTCATTTTTATTTTTAAATCTGGAGCTTTTAATAAAATAATACACTCTATAGCCAAACGTTTGTGGACAGCTGACCATCATATCTATATGAGCTCATTGGTCATCCCATTCCAGAATCATGGCCATTAACTTGGGTCTGTTCCCTCCTTTGCAGCTATAACATCCTCCACTTAACTGGGAAGTCTATCCACAAGATTTTGGAGGTGTCTATGGGAATTTGTCCCATTTGTGGTACTGATGTTGGGGGCGCAGAGAAGACCTGGCTCTCCATTGCCATTCTAATTTATCCCAATGATGTTCAGTAGGGTTGAGGTCAGGGCTCGGTGCAGGACACTCGAATTCCTCCACACCAAGCTGGTCAAGCCATGTCTTTATGGAGCTGGCTTTGTGGACATCCTATTGCAAAACCATGGGCATTACATGGAGTTGCCCCCTTTGTGGCTATACCATCCTCCACTCTTCTGGGAAGGCTTTCTGCAAGATTTTGGATGGTGTCTTTGGTCATTTGTGCCCATTTGTGAGGTCAGGTTCTGATGTTGGTTGAGAAGACCTGGCGACCTTCAGCGATCCAATTCATCCCAAAGGACACTCGATGTGCAGGACACTCGATTTCCTCCACACCAAACTGGTCACACCATGTCTTTATGGAGCTGGCTTTGTACACAGGGGACAATCATGGTGGAACAGAAAAGGGTCTGCACCCAACTGTTACCACAAGGTTGTAAAAGCACAATTGTCTACAATGTCTTTGTATTGTCTAACATACCTGAACTTAACATTCTGTTGGCCAAATAGTAAGATGACCACTAGGAAGGAGGTTTGGGTTTATAGCCACCATGGGACCTTTTAGCTAGGGGTGCTCAAAGCAAAGTTCTCACTAGTTACTGGCCATCTGTTCTTGGAGCTGCCTGTTCACAGCATGCCGCTGCATCATTTGAAAGAAAAAAACAAAACATAGTTTAAGAACAGTGTGCACCTAAACTACTTCATAATATTTCCTGCACATTCACTGCACCCACCTATCCCCATGAATAAAAGTTAGGCATACCTTGGTGTCAGGATCCAGAGCGCCTCCAGGGGGCGCTGGAGCTGGTACCTCCAGTTGCTGCGCTCACCTGCAGGTGTCTCCAGGCAGCCAGGAACTGTCAGGTATCGAGCCCACCACTGGGTGGTGCGGGAACCTACGGCTCCAGTGCTCACCTGCAGGTGTCTCCCAGCTTGCACGGATCATCCCATCACCTGGTGCTTCCTGGGAGGGTATTTAGGCCCTCCCTGCAGTCAGGACGTCGGCTCAGTATCTGATCAGTTCCTGTGTACCCAGAACCTTGTTGCCTTCCCCTGACTGAGTCCCGTTACCTGAACCTGTTACCCGTATGCAATCCTGAACCCTTCCTTGTCAGCAGGGCCGGTGCTCTCCCTGACTGAGTCCCGTGTCCTGAGCCCTGTAACCTGTAAGCCTGATACCTGTCTGCAGTCCTGTCGCCCTTCCTTGTTACCAGTTCCTGTATACTGTAGCCTTACCCTGATACCTGCCTTGCAGTTCCTAACCCTGTTCCCGTTTACTGTTCCTTCTGGCTGTAGGTGTGTTTTTGTTCTATTTGAGTTTTTGTCATTTCACTGCTTGTGCTAGCTTGTGGGTCTTGGTGGGGTTTGTAGTTTCCTGTTTGCTGTGTGACAATAAACCGTGTGCATAACCTCCTCCAGTGTGGTCACACTAATTTGGTCTGCCTGCGTGGGTACCTGCATGCCGTGTGGGGACACCTGTGCACGGTACCCTGACACTTGGTTAGGCCTATTATCCTTGATAAAAGCTGTCCTGCAGCTTTTACACTTTGCTCTTTGTCTCTGGTAAATTTGGGCTTAGCCTTGCTATTTAGATTTGTCCTGCTGCTGGTCAATTCAACACTGATGTGTCATCTGCAATCTTGTGGTAACACCCCAGTCTATGCTCTTTATCTCTAATACATTTCAGACAATTTACCTTCATTACAAAAAATGTCCTGCTCCTGGCCAATTTTACACCGCTGTATCCTCTGTGGTCTCTTATTTCCTAATTAGAGCTTGCTAGAAATTGGCCAGCAGCAGGACAGTTGTACAAGGGCTGCCACGGGCTACTTTCTACCAGACAAAGCGTGCTTATAACTATGTAATACAAATGCCTGCGTCTCTGCTAAAGCTGCCTGAAAAAAATATTTAGATTAGGGTGCTGCAGGTGAATTGTGTATTTCCAGTGTAGTCCTCGAAGCTACATGGCCAGACCCTCTCCCTGCTGTACGGTACTTAAAAAGAAAAACACATTGGTACACGTCCCCTATGGCAGTGCGCAGCTCCCCTTGCCGGTTATTAACAGTAGTAGATCACAATTCAATGACCAAATTCACTCCCACCATAGGCTTCAATAGGATTCGCCTCAGGTTTGCCAAATTTCGAATAAGATTGGCCCAACCCTTGGTCGAAGCCAAGCAGGCTCACCCATCACTAGTGTCCACAAACTTTCAGCCTTAGGCCTTATTCACACTGTAATCGGCCGGCACGTACAGCTCCGTGCTGCGTGCAGGGCCGTAACAGGCAGCTACCGGGGAGGATAGGTGCTGCGTGTGATTAGTACGCAGCCCCTGTCCATCTAGATGGGACTTCGTGGTTGTACACCCCCCTACGCTCACCTCAAGTGCACATGCGTACGGTTGCGGGTGAACGTACGCTTACGCTGAGAGGATGGATCCTGTCTGTGTCCGACCCCGGAAACTTGCACCCCTACGGACCAGACCTGCACTTGAGGTGAGCGTAGGGGGGGCCTACGGCCACGTAGTCCCATAGAGAAGGACGGGGGCTGCGTACTAATCACACGCAGCACCTGTCCTTCCCGGGAGCTGCCCGATACGGCCCCGCACGGAGCTGTACGTGCCGGCCGATTACAGTGTGAATGAGGCTATAGAGCTCACCCGCCCAGCGCTCTGAAGGCACCATACTCTTCACGTCTCCAGCCCCTGTCTGTACAATTAATATTAATAACTAGGATAGAAATATTTATTTTATACAAAGCCAGCGACTTCAGTCAATGAATTGACCTCTCATAGCAAACGTGTGAAAAATACAATTAAAAAACAAACATTACGGACACAGAACCTGCAATGAATTGCCATCTGATGGAAATCGAAATTGTCTTTAACTGACTGTGACAATTGGCTCCACAATGGAAATGTCAGTTCTCCCTGAATTTACAGTGGCAGAGCCACCAGTCTGAGGGCTGTTACCTTGCTTGCAGTTACAGTTTTCAGCCCACGCGTGCCTGAAGTGCGGCGAGACGGACTGCAGTGCGTGGCTCTGCGCCGGGCTCTTCCTCCTGCATACCCACAGCAAGGCCTTGAGCTCCGAGCGGAAACTCTCGTTCAGCCAACAGTAGATAAACGGGTTGTAGCAGGTGCTGCTCATGGCGAACCAGTGGAAAGCGAAATATATGGCATTGTTACTGCTGATGAGTTTACTGGACATCAGAACAAGGTAACAGTTCAATGGGAACCAGCAGACGGCAAAGACCACCACCACGAGCATCAGCATCTTGAGGGTCATCTTTTTCTTCCTCCTGTGGGCGTAGTATTGTTCCATGGTAATGTCCCCGATGGCATTTCTCAGCCACAGTTTCTTTGCCACCATGGTATAGGTGATGGAGATGACAATCAAGGGTAATACATAGAGAAGTACAAACGTAGCCAAATCCAAATACTTCCAGAAGAGGTCGGCCGGGTAGGGGAAACTGGGAAGGCAAACCATCCGCACAGTATTTCTGTAAGAGGACACAATGAACAATGGTTACAGCACGCCAAGTTCTTTTGCATCTCAAACATGACAGTCATGGACAAAGATGAGCAAATTTAAGAGTTTTTATTTCCATGAAATTTTGGGAAAAACAAAAATCAGGAGATTTCGGCAAAATTTTACCACCTTGGAGTCAACAGGGAAAGAAAAATGAATTTGTATGGTGTTTGTAATTTACTTTTTAAATGGTTCCAAAGAGTTACATAGGTTCCTTTCAACCATCCTGGACCAGTTCTTGAGCCAAAAATTGTCCCTTATTAGTATCATTTTATTATATAT